TTGAAGAGCTAACGAATATTGAGAGTACTCCTCCTACCGACGAACAGGGAGCTGCCGCTTCTTCTCAACCGTTGTTGCACTCTTTGGCCGAATCAGTGAAGCTTTTGTCCTCTGAAATGAAGGCTCTTCGACGGGAGGTGAATGGTCTTTTAGCCTGTTCTGATCCAGGATGCAATATGGTGTTCAAGAAATTCAGTGAATTAAAAAGTCATCTTGATGTAGGAGACCGCCACCAAATTCTCCGAAATTCTGATACAGTGTTTGACAAACTCAGAAGAAACTGGGCGGAGAAATTCTTCAATGTTAACGACGAGGAAATCGACAGGACATTAGCAAGAAGAATGGTAGTCCCAGCAGCGATGTGCAGCTTTACTGGGCACTACATAAGCCACGAAGCCAGGAAGTCGTACGTTTCACTTCTGATATTAAAGGCAGATCGCGGAAAAGTAGCTCTAGATATGAGAACGGCAAGAACGGCAGAGAAACCTAGAACGGCAAGAAACCCAGACAGCTCCCACATGTTTGAAAGGAAGGACTAGCTAATGAAGACTCGAGTGCAGGGGTTTTTCTCGAGATTGGCGGCCGCAAGAACGAGACAGGGAAGCTGAGAAATTGAAGTGGAGGAAGTTTATGCAGAGGAAGAGGAGCAAGAGAGACGTGAAATGTTGGAAAACGTTACCGACCAGCTTGGTCTAAAACACCTTATTTGCTCTGGCTCATACTGCTTGTGTGACCTCACACGCGATAAGAAACTTGAAAGTTTCAGCGTAGTCATGCGTAAGAAGATGCTTAAATTTTTTGAGATTCCATATGGTTGCCGAGATGGGAAAAAAGATCTTGTAACGACCAAAACTTTCACGACCAAAATTCGCTTTTATTGGTTTTCTATCTGCTCATCGGACCTCGTTAGTCGAGTGGGTAGGCCTTCCCAAACATTACAAAAAACGGAACATTCTTGAGCGACTGAGGTCATGTGATGATTTCATGTGACAAAAAGGGCGGGAAAACACAAAAACAGGGAACCCAGCAACAGATATGTTAACTAAACTTTCCACATTCTTAGAGGGATGTATCTGTAACTGATAGGAAAAGGTCTAAACTTTTTAATAAAAATGTGGAACATTGTTTGATCCGTTTTGGTAAGGACTGGTTCGGCGTACACGGGGTTCCAAGTACTTTTTTCAGAACATATCTAGGAATAGAGCTTTACTTTTCTGGCAGCAGAGAGAATAGTTGATAAAACAAAGATAATATCGAAATAAGAGGAAAATAGCGAAAACATAGAAGCGTAGCTGCAAATTTTTCCGCCGACTCAATCAATTAATATTTTGAAATCCTACATGAATCACGCGATGTAAATCTCTCCAAATTCGTTTACTTCCTGAATCTATTATAACCAAGTAAGAAAAGGTCATTTAACTTTAAAGAGATAAATAGACAGTGAATCATCGGCGGTGATTATCAAAACTAAAAGAGAAAACTTAATTCATTTATCTCTTAGTGGCCACTGATTTTGTATTTTACCTTTTTTACTCTAATTATTACTATTTTACGATATCACGTAAAAACATGAGCATTTCAACGTGCCTGCCGCCTGAAATCGGTCGTCATAATCATGCCTTCAAAAAAAATTACTTTTTGGTTCTCAATGAGGTAAATGCTGGTATAATTTACAGTAAAAATAAGAAAAGTATCACTCTTGACACAAACCATTTCTGTGCGATGTAGTTAAATATGAATCCGTGACATTTTCAAAGTAAAGACCGTGACACATGACTGAATCAACCCATTCTCGGGGAGATGTTCTTAAGCTCTGGTAAGAGATAAAGTTCTCTTCATAATGGCATATTTGGAATGAGCGTTTCTAAGTCTGTAAGTGAGAGCAATTTTAGTTTTTTCATACCATATGACAGCGGTCAAGACTAACTTAATGGAATAATTTGGATATATCAACAAAGTTGAAGTGGTAAATTGGCCACCGTAACGATTACGAAAGCTGACGTTTCGAGCGTTAGCCCTTCGTCGAAGGGCTAACGCCGTCGAAGGGCTAACGTCGCTCCGACGAAGGGCTAACCCTCGAAACGTCAGCTTTTGTAATCGTTACGGTGGCCAATTTACCGCTTCAACTTTGTTGATATTTCCAAATTATTTCGTTACTCCCACCGACGCAGCCCCAAACAGTTTCTTTTGAAACTATCAGCCTTTATTAACTTACTGGAATTTTGTCAACATGTTCTAGGCCCCATGAGACAGTTAAACGTAATGTCACTCAGATGTTCATTTGTACTTTTGTAATTGCTAGATTTGGGGAAAGTTTGGATGAATTTATGAACATCCGCAACTTAAAAAAAGCAACCGTGCTAGTTTTGAAAATAGTCACTGCCTCAAATATTGATTTTGAGCAAGAAATAGAGTAACACAAATCTGCATAAATTAAGTCATATGCACTTTGACCGTAGAAAATTAGTAAAGTTCATCGAGCTCCTGTAGCTCGAAAAGACTAGTTACCAAAAATGTTTTTGTTGTTTTCGGCACACCAGCCCTAGTACTAAACATGGATAGTGGTGAGGACTCCAGATCCCGTTATACTTTTGAGAAAAGCGTTTTGGAACAACAGCACACTCACTCAAATTTGGAAAGTGCTGTTTGTGTGGTATTTTCTAAACAGCGTAATTCTTAATTCTTTGGTCAGAATTTATATATTTTGCTATTAATCAACAGAAGAGATGTAAAATGATACCACATGTCCGATTTATGTTATTTGAACGAGTGCGTAAGTTTTTGGAGCCTCCAGCGAAACGTTGGAAAATTGACTCTCAAATAAACAGTTTTCCTCACATCTTGTCGCCAAAAACTTGATAAAATAGCTTTACGAACCAAATAAATACAATTTTTGCTGATAGAATAAATCAAATATCTCACAGTAAAAATTAGAGGGAATTCTGTGATCGGCCGAAATTCGAGTGGTCGGTTCTTACACGGACAGCCTCTTAATTTACAATATAAATTTAACCCACCTAGAATTTCAATATTTTGATGTCTTTCTCATTACTGGGTTCCCCCTCTCCTCCTTGTCTCGTAAACACGAAATCTGAAGTTAAATCACCGCTTAAAAAAACAGTGCCGTCATCATGCTTTGCGAATTTTTAGAATGTAAGCTTGTGATTGATATTAGCTGGGAAGTGTATCAGCGCAAAATATACTTTAAGCCTTTCTGCACTTTAAAATAAAAACCCCTAGGTGTATGCAGGGTACATGCTGCTTCGTCTGTGTGATTGTTTCAGTGGCCACTAAATATGTCTTAATTTGGATTCGAGGCACCTGAGCGAGTCGGCTAGAGTCTCGAATTGGAAATGATAAATTTTTTTCAGAAGACAGTGCTAAAGTTTTCAGAGGCCAACGGACTTTTATTTCTGCCTTTTCAGCTGTTTAAAGCAGAACAAGATGCTGCACCAGAAAAAAATGCTTCAACAGAAAGCAACGCTGCCCCAGGAAAGCATGCTGCTGAGGTAAGTTAGTGGTTTTCTTACCTAACTTAGAGTAGCAACCAAAAGAAGGTGTTCTGGCTGAAGAGTAACATGTCTGTACATATCTTGCCAGAGTTAATCTGACGGTGTTAAGATGTCCAAGCACTGGATGCATTTCAATAGTCATCATCAATAGTTATTTCTGCCTTTTCAGCTGTTTGCGACAAAAAAAAATGCTGGACCACAAAAAAATGCTGCACCAGAAAGTAACACTGCCCCAGGAAAAAATGCTGCTGAGGTAAGTAGGTGGTTATCTTACCTAACGTTGTGAAAAATAATGACCAATAGGAGGTGTTCTGGTTGAAGAGCAACATGTTGGTACATATTTACTTGGCACAGTAATTTGACGGTATTAGTGTGCCCAAGCATGGTATGCATTTCAATAGTGACTTCATTTTCAGTTTTTAGTTGGTACCAGGAACACGATAAATGCCAGAAAAACGTCCACCTACTTAGATAAGTCAGCTCTTCAAACACAACCAATTTTTTTATGCGACGGAATTTGGAGCTTGATAATCACAGAAATACGGTTTATTCCCCCTCCCAGAACACTTCAGAGAAGGCTATTTATTTCATCAATTTTGTACGTCACTTGATGATAAAGATTTGTCCCTCTGCCCCACTTAAAGCAATTTTGAAGTAATTAGATCACATCGTTTGTGGTTTATACTTGCTGTGAGAGAACACTTTTAAATAGGTGCATACTTTTTATGCTGTATTCCTCTATTCAGAGAATAGTGTGGTCTCCTGGAACTAGAGTGATGGGAAAATATGCTTTCAAGGGGCGAGACTCAGAGGTAAGCATTTTAATGATTTTATCAAAAATTGACTTGTGTTTGAGATAGTGGTGATGTTACATTGGTGACCAATTACTCACGCCGAAGGTTACATAATTTTCTTTACGAGCCAGAAATTTCAAAAGTAATCAGTTATTTACACCCAGGAGAGCCTCTTTTTTTCTGTTTCATCATTTCATTAAGATTCTGAACTAGGAAAATATGGACAAGCCGAAAATTGAGCCCACCATTTTTAACTTGACTACTTGTCGTTTGTAAACGTAAAGGAACAAAGCTAATTTGCTAATTCTTCAAAGAAGCTTTCTCCAAGCATCTATTGATTGATGGTTCCTTTAGTTTATTGGAAGAAAACGTCAATAAAAGGGTTGGCTTACACAAGGGTACAATGTTATAATCATTGACATCAGGTCAAACGGTCCAAATAATTGAAATGTTAATCTTTTATGTCTGTTCTATCTCAAGGATATGAGTTAACTATGAAAACAAATCACTGCTGGGTTAAAGGGCTGACAAATCTTCTTTGTCATTTAGGATCTGCCGTTTAAAAAGGGCGAAATTCTCATTATAGAAACAGTTACCAGGGTGAGTCCATATGAAAACCTTGCAAAATTGTTCGGCATCGCTTATGGAACTGGGAAAAAGGTGTATTTTCGCGCTACCTCTTGTTTATGAGCATTACTTTCCGGTGAGACTCACCTTCCTCTGATTGAAAATTTGTCTGAAGTTTGGGTAGTAGCATGGCTGCCTACAAAATGACTCAATGAATTCGATAATGGGGTTTTGGTTTGTTTATGTAGTCGCAGGTCATCAAGTTTAATGCTATGAGTGTAAAGGACCAGCGGATACTGGTGTTTCGGACTACAGACTGTCTAACAGGCGTATACACGAAATAGAATGTTCATGCCGTCCGGGACTGAAACCTAGACCTGCTGTACCGTTACTGGGCGCTTTATTAGCTGGGCCAAACAGTCGGCAGATTTATTTGCATGGTTTTTGTGGTCTCGAATATATTAATGTTCTTATAATCAATAACAAATTAATATATCGGAAAAGGTCTTAAAGATGTGAGGTAATTTCAATTTGGGAATCTTTGATGAATATTGTTACGAGCGTGTCCACGAGAAAATCGGGAAGGGGGCGATAAACCACCTGCATTTTTTGCATAATTAATTAGTCAACTTTGCATTGCTGCTGTGACAAACTGAAAATCCATCTGCAAATTCAATCAACTGGGTTGTATTCTTTATTTATCAGACTTCAAGAAAACTGAATTGTTTTAACTTTTTCATTTCATTTCTTCCCTTACCTCTCGCTTAAGAAAAGACGACTTTTTTCTAGTTTTGACAAAGTCGAAAAAATAAGGATATTTTAAAGCCCGATATCTCCGATGACCTACCACTTCTGATCATTATTCCTATATGGGCAGTGAAAGCCATCACTGGACTTCCAAAACACCCTTATTTGTTAACTCATGATACTTAGTATCTGTGCCAAATCGGTGATTTGAGGTTTAACGCTCCTGTCCGGTTCTGCCCGTTTTTCTCGGGGACACACTCTCAATTTTGTCTCATCTCTGTTTTCTGTAGGGTCACAACTGGTATGGAGCAGTTAATAGTGAGGGACGAAAAGGATTCATTCCTGTCAACTTTGTTGAGAAATGTTTTACGTTCCGCGCTGTTGAACTCGAACCCGTGTTGTAAGTTAATTTTCTGAAAGCCTTCAGAAGAGTTAGATCTCAACGTTTGCAACTTGCCAAGTTTCCTATAATGCTGCAGAGTTTCAAAATTGTTTCTATAATTGTTCACCTTGATAGTTTAGTATTGCAGTGAACAGGAGATTAGCAGGTAGACATGTATTAGGAAAATGCAACTGTGTTACTGTGTGGTACAAGCCACAACAGCAGGTGATGGATCGACTGTATTTAATGTGCATCTCGGATCGTAATTTTAATGGTTCATAACGAATTGAGTGTATTTTCGTCTTACCTATACAAATGAAACCGTGGAGGCGCGGTGGCCTCATGGTTGGTGCGCTCGACTCCGGATCGAGTGGCTCGGGTTCGAGCCCCGGCCGGGGACATTGCGTTGTGTTCTTAGGCAAGACACTTTACTTTAGGCAAGACACTTTACTCTCACAATGCCTCTCTTCACCCAGGTGTTTAAATGGGTACCGGAAAATTTAATGCTGGGGGGTAACCCTGCGATGGACTAGCATCCCATCCAGGGGGGAGTAGAAATACTCCTAGTCGCTTCATGCTACAGAAACCGGAGTTAAGCACCGGCCTGATGGGCTACTGGCTCGTAAATAGACTTTACCCATACAAATGAAACAGTTTAGCAACGCATTTTTCATGAAAACAAACCTTCTAGATCATAAAGACTGAGAAGCGTCAGAGAGGTTTGGAATTATTGCGCTAAATGCTCTATACGAAAAAAAAAGTAAAAGTTAAAGTTCGCAAACGGTTCGTGAACGATTCTTAAACAATTTAGCTGTATCAAGTTTGGTCGATTAACTTGGCTGTTATTCGACGAAGCGAAAGGTATGAAAATAGAGTGGAAGCCCATATCTGCGTGATAGTTGATGAGTATTCACCGAAGTGTAGGTGGCACAAGGTTGGATATTGTATTGAGCCGTGAAGCGGCGAGGGAAATATCCATCGCCAGCCACCGACACTGTAAATAGTATATACCAAAAAAGTGAGAAAATATAGCACGGTTACAATTTATTTGGACTCAAATCCTGCGCAAGTTCCTGGGAGGTGAAAAGGAAAAAACATAAACCCCTCCAGGCGACTGGTATGTCACCTCTACTGTCTGTGGCTGAGATATTGTCCGAAAAATGAATATTTGGTTGAGAAGCGAAGCTTCGAGTACAAATGTGATATTATTGAGGACAATCCCTCAGCCAAAGACATCATCACCCGACAGGTTTATATATATTTTAATAACCTGCACATTAATTTTCACGCCGGGTAAAGGCAGCTCGGAAAAAAAGCTATTGTTGATCTTTTTTTGGGTGTTTTCTGGAGCAGCATTAGCAACCAGCGTTTAAATGTCACTATCACTGGACTCTAAAAAACGAAATTGTTTTTCCTCCATGTAAAATATTACGGATGACGGGTAAAATTCTTCATCTGGCTTTTTTTCTGCAAACTTTGTTTCATTTCGGAAACAGAAAAAATCTCGACGCAAACGGGAGTCGTTGCGTGATACATGTCTGGGATTTTGACATGAAGTAGCCAATAAGATCGCGCAAGAATTCGTGGGTGGGTTTTAAGAAAGGATATTCGGAGTTTGAGTAGCCAACCAGAGCACACTTTCAAAGCTATCCACAGTTTAATTGTAAACTAATGAAATTACCCGTTGCTTCCGTACTCACGGACGTTTCATACTCGGTCGATTCCTCTTCAGCAACGATCGTTGGTACACAGTCGATTGAATCGTTTCGTACCCATGCAAAAGCAATTAAGTCGAAGCCAGTTTTCTCGCCAGTAAAAAGAATAGAACTTGTTTTTTATCCAGAAGCTAACCAATTCGCACAGGCTTCAATCGCGAACTTTCAATTTGTGTTTGAAGTGGGCACGGTGAAGGGGCTACGCGTATTGTAGAGGCCGGAAGTGATAACAAGGAAGACGGTGATGCCAACGAAGACGATGCGAAATAAACAGATGAAACTGTATCTATTTTATCACCTACCGGATTGCGATCTTTTTTTTTTTCACTTAATTGTTTCTGATAAGTTTCATGATCTTTTCAAACCTTCACGCGTGGTTACAGCTTGATTATCAATTCTTAACTGGAAGCTATTGTTTGTTTTTGTTTTGATCAAAATCACAGATCGTTTCATGGGGATATAAGCAGAAGAGAGGCTGAGATGCTTCTTAACCCTCGCGAAGACGGATTGTTTCTGATAAGAAACAGTGGCCACTATAAGGGGGACTATGCGATTTCGGTCTGGTATGTTTGTAGTTTGTCGTAATTATAAAGTGAACTTTTTGTATCTTCGAGAAATATTAAAGAGACGAACGCTTCGCTTATCGCAAGGTGTCACTGGGGAACTCTTTGATTAAAGATTCTTGGAAACTTGGTCCTAATAACTCCTTGGTAGCACGTAGTCAATACTTAGCTCCTTAAAGTGATTCTTCCGAAGAAAAAGATGTCGTACAATTTTTTTATACTTACCTTAATGTTCCTACCAATGTCTGTTTCGAAAACTACAATAAAAGAGATAGGCCACCTTGGTTGCTTAAGAGATATAATAGGCTGGTCTTACCCTATATATGCTTGTGCTGCAGTGGCTAATTCTCTCCTCATTAATTTGCTTCTACTAATGATACCTTAATATGTGTATTCTGTTGCTTCAAATCATCATTTTATCATTTCGACATTTTAGCTCATTAGTGCGCTTGTCGTGCATTCTTCTTCACAGCTGTGGTCACAAAGTTGAGCATTACAGAGTCAGAGTGAGTGACGGTGAAGAACTTACAGTAGACGATGAATTTTCTTTTGGAAGTCTCCCCAAATTAGTAGAGGTAAGTAATGTGTATATCAGGTTCGATAGTAATCAGTCCTCCAGTAAACTGTATAGTTTTAAGTTTCGTGCAAATAATAAATACCATGCACAACTACTATGACAATGCAAAATTCTTTTAGTTAACTTTTATTTTACTGATTAGAGCCTCGAATATTGCTTTGAGGTTTTCCCCCATTGCGAGTTCGCCATCAACTACCGAGTTCGCCGCCTTTGGTAGAACAAATTCACCCCACTTTTGTGAGTTCGCACTCAATGGAATTTTTATGCTTGTTTCTTTATAGCGGAAAGTATTCCTTTGTGTATTTTTCAAGTCAATGTACCTCACATAGCAGAGCAGAACATTGAGAACAGAGTAGACTATGCTCTGCGCAAAGCAAAGCATTTCAAGCGTAGAAGAACATGGCACATATTGATCGATTTAACTTGTCCAGCTACTGAGACGTGGATCCTTCTTATCTATAAAAACACGCTCACGTACAACAAAGAATACTTTTCAAATTCTAAACGAAATATAATCTGCTAAAGTGGTTTAATAGACGTATCTCGAACAAACCACACGAGAGAATGGCGCCCCATGAAAATAATGCAAATGAAAAAGTCCAAAGTATGCCAATATTGAGGATCGAAATGAACCAGCGAACTGAAGAAGACGGCGCAAGAATAAACGCAGACCAACTTGTTACTCATAACCTTATGCTACATCCTACAGTATGTTAATTTGACCAGTTAGCCACTACTCCTTTACATCACGGTCTGGCTTTTCTTAGCGTTATTCAAAGGACCCAGATGGACTATGTACGAGATTAGCAAAACCTGCCACGTATAAAGGAGAAACATTTTATACCAGCATCGATCGGTGGTGTTTTGATAACGGTAAGCAGGCATGCAAGTAAATGCGAAAATTTTTCCTTTAGGGGAAGATTTGCCTATAGTTTTTCCGAAAAAAAAAAGGATTTCAGTAATATGGGTAGTCTATACTTTATTGACCTTGTACAAAGTGAACTGGCTGAAGAAGTTTTGTTATGATTTCTCTCAGTTACTCGAGCCACCCTCAAACTTTTGACTTACTTACATTGTAATAGTCTTTTATAAGAAGGAAAGGCTAAGTTATAACACCCCTGACAATATTCATCTTTCGTTGTTGAAACAGCAGTGTATAAATATTTCCGTTTTTCATTACGCAAGAAGTTGCTGTGGTTGTCAAGATAGAATTTAAAGAGATCCGATCAATCAGAAAAGAGGAAAAATTTTATGCAGATAACTCGAACCTTCGAGAGAGTTCAAGGTGTAAGGCTAAGTTTTGGGGCGGTTGTACCGCTGAGTATTTTTACGAGCTATACCGTATTTTAGTAATTTGGTTCATCAGTTGAGTTGAAATTGTAACTGGGACGTTTTCTTGAGTAGTAGTGAGTAGGCAAATTGAGAACCTAGGACGCGATTTAAAATGTCGTTGGTTCACCGATGAGTACAAACGTACAAAATTTGTTTTCTTCTAGGTGGATGGGAAATAAACCGCACATGCCTTTATTCAAGGAACTGCATAAGAAGGGGAGACTTTGGGGGCAAGTATAAAGAATAAAAAGTTGCCGTTATTGAGAACTAAAAAAGGTTTCGTCTTAAATTTTCACTGTCTCTTGTAGCATGTGATCATTATTTCACTTAATGCTCCTTGAGTGCATCGCAAGGAACGCATAAAATAATAGTCTCACTCTTGATTTGCTGAAGTGTGCATTACGTTTCTTAAGATTTAAGCCTAGAAGGCCTAGAAGATCCCTCCCTTACATAGGACAATAGGAAATGTGTAGATGTATGGATAGACCGACAGAAAAACCTATAAGTAAGAATATAAATGAATCGATACTTAAGAAGGTCGTGGTTTTTTTTCAATGAATGAACTTGCGATCGTAAATGAAGAAAAACAATTAGCAGATTGACCTATATACAACTAAGAAGATTCTAGGGCTTAGGTAATCACCAAATGTCATACCCTAAACCTAAACGGTCGTAAACGGACTTACCCCTATACCCATGATACTACAACACAGTCCCCATGCCTTGTTACATTTCCTCGTGCCCACGAAATCTTTATTTTACCCTTTATTGCAAGCTCATTCGCGAAAAATGGTCTTTGTCAAATAGAGATTGTATTTTAGCAGTAGTGAGGAGAAAATTTGAGCAGTTAGCTGTAGGTGGAAATGTAATTTATCTTAATATGGAAAATGGGATTGATCAGTTGTTCATTAACCCCTCAGATATTTTTCAAGCCGAATACCTTAGTCACAAAGTGACTGTGAAAAAATATTCAGCAAAGAGCTATCAAGATGTTCAAGCGTTTTTACTTGAGGCTGCCATCATGACGTATGTAAATCTTGACATTGTAGAGTTTTATAGTGATGAGGCTTTTTGGTTCTTTTGAAAATTTACCCAATTTTATTTCAAGCAGGTTGATCTCTCACCTGGCTTATTCTGAGAACTCTTTTTCATCATCCATCCATTCCTGAAGGTAAATGACTAACTACCGTGAGAAAGTGCTTTGAACTTTGGCTTTGGCTTTTTAAACGGCGGCGATAGGGTTGCATTTGAGACCTTACCATAGTATGCAAGGTCTGATGAAAAATTAGAAGGAACAGTTACTTTTTGACAAGTTTCTTGATAAGTTAAAGTACCAAATAACTAGGTGTTTGTCAATCTACCTATTAACAGTTTTTATTTAGAAATAGAAAGAATATGAAAAACTGCATTGGGCAGACATGCAGGCAGTTGTTTTTATCGTGTCTTTTTTTTTTAACAGGAAACTACAGCATAGGAATATTGTGACATTATTAGGAGTGTCATCGACCGAAGACCCTTTCTACCTTGTGACAGAGTTTTGTGCAAAGGTAAGCGTTTCAGGGCCATGGAAAAACTTGCGTTTGATCAAACAGTTGCAGGTCAGTTGAGTTGCACCTTCAGCTACATATCCACAACACCCAACAATCAAAAAGCCTCGGGAATTTAACGTCTTCTAAGTGTGCACCAAATTGTAAAGTTGTGCTGATGTAAGATGTAGTGATCCCTATTTCCTCGAGGCAGTTCAAAACTTTAAAATTATTTCGAGACTTAAAGAAAAAAAGCGTCAATGCATGACGATAGATGTTCATGAAAGATTAATGAGCAGGTTTTAGTTGCAGTTGAGAAGTTTGCTAGTATTAGGATAGGTGATAGGATGAAATGTATAATTGACCAATCAAATGTCCGATTGTGCCAGAAGCGATACGGAGTCAGTATCGAGGTCTGTTTCATCTGATTTTATTACTCATCAAGAGTTTTAGAGTAGTGTTGCGTTTCAAATGATTGTAACTATTTCCCATATTTTCTCTTTTTTTACATATAGGGAAATTTATTGGAATTCTTGTCGGGAAGAGGCTCAAGTACAATCCAGGAAGATGATCTTGTGAACGTTGCTCAGTAAGGAATTTNTCTTCTGGGAAAGTGATTCTTGTCAAATAAAGAATGCAGAGCAAGAGACTAGCCTTTATTCTGAACCATCAAACGGCCAAAAAATTACACGTGAAAGTGGCCCAAAGGAAGATACTATAGGAATGATTTCTTAGTTACCATAATTAATTCATATAAATGTTCTGTTCCACAGGGATGTAGCTCGCGGTATGGAGTATTTACAATCCAAAAATGTAGTACACAGGTAAAATGTCTCGCCACAAATTTTTGGAAGGCATGAAAAGATGAGCCGTGATAAGGAATTGTGGGAAACTTGGATTCTTAGTTGAAAGGGAACCAAGAAACACAGTTGAATAGTACACGCGTTTTGATTGGTTCTTACTTGTGATCTATTGGAAAACAGACGTATGGGTGACATCACCACTTACCGATTTTCCTGGGTGTGATATGAAACAAAAAGATTCTATATTGCCGTGCGTCTGTTCAGTAAATATATCAAAGAAAACGTCTAATGTCGTAAGAATATCAGACATAATCAGCTGCGCCTAGTGTTCCATTTTTCTGCTCTTGCCAAATGTTGACCTCATCTGTGTTCTATGACCGAACAGTCGCACCGCAACTTGGAATCTATTGACTATAGTATGGAAAATCAAACCAACCGAGTGTTACAGAGAATGACTGAAGATAAGTGTCTAGAAATTTCTAAGTAAGAATATTACACGTCACTTAATAGTGTTACGGTATTTTCTCAACCGACAGAAAGTTACAACTCGTACCAACTCAACTTCTTTATTAACTGACGTAATAACTACCGAGCGATACCAATAACTAGTACGATAACTATTCTCTTATGTTAGAGCCCTCTATAAAACTATAATGTCAGTGAACTACTGCACAACCCACAGTTCGCTTCAATCATCCTTATAACTTAACGATGTCCACAAAACTCTTCTCAATATAGCCTTCCACACGGCTGACAATTCCAGTAACAACACTAGCTCCTTTGGGCTCTTCACGACAGCACTTACTCACTGAAAAAGGACTAACTTTAAGCGATCGCTACTCCTTATATATGTTTACAAAATGTTCTAGAACATTCTAGGAATCTGTAATACGACTATTTTTAGTATCATTACATCACTATTGCATCCTAACAAAATATGCTGACTAAGGGTTCTAGAAAGTTTCATTAAGAGTTCTTGATGAGTCAGCATGACTAACCGTTCCAGAAACTTCTTCAGTTCTATTTGTAGTAATTATGTAACACAACGCTCTCCATACCAGTAGAGCAGTCGAATTTGTAGGATTGTAGTGTTTTTTTTATTGGTTGAATTAAACCGTAACACGAGTACATTTTGGGACTTACGGGTATGAGCAATGTTTTGAAAACGAATCAAAACATTACAAGTGGCCATTTAACACCAAATATTCGAGAAGTTCATGCGATTTTCTTTTTGGTTTATTACACCCTCAACAAAACTCTCCCAACGAAAATTGTTCTTTCTTTGAATTGATCATTAAAAAAACTTGAGTTGAAATAGTGATACGCAAACGATGTCCTCGAAAAGGGAAAGTGCTCAGAAACGTTAAGGATCGTCTCACCAGTAATGATCACCTGGTATGTTTTTATCACCTGGTATGTAAAAAAGCGCACTATAAATCAATAAATTATTAAATTATTATTATTAGTAGTAATGTAATCTACAGCATTACTGATAAAAATTCTGAGCTATAGAGTAATTGTTTTTTGCTCAGAGTCAAATTGAGTGGGATATGTCATCAATACTTGCAGCTTTGCGTATCCTAACTATGTCCTCTTCTCATATTTACATCTTCTCACTCCAGGGCGTTAATGGCGAGGAACATTTTGATAGATGAAGATGGAACAGCAAAGGTAGGTCAACCAAGGGTCATAACATTATCACATAATGAAAACGCGATTATCTCGGGAGTAGTTGTTTTCACCTTTTATTCAGGTCTCCTTTATTTGGCAGGATTGTGAATTGCAATTGTCAGTCATCATTCAGCTAGCGTGGAGCTGTTCTGCGATATAAAATAAAGAAATAGCTTGACTTCCACAGCTGTCATCTATTCTGTGATAAGATTGAAAGAGTACAACGTTACTCAGATTCCACTAGTTTCATTTAAACGTCAAATTACGAAAGTTGGCTTCTGCTTAGTGAGGCTTTGAGAGCTTTGATTTATGTGCTTAAATGCCGTTGGTGTTTAGTCGCCTTTCCTTCACTGTTAGGTGTCTGAGTTTGGACTTGCACAGATGTACAATTCAAGTTCTGAGCGGAAAAATACTTCTGACAAGTGGGCAGCTCCAGAAGCAATCAGAGAGGGGGTACAGCGTACTTAGAGCTTTTAAGCATAATTAAAAGCACACACGTAGTAAAATGTGCAGATACATAATGTATCAAAGATACATAATTTCTAAATCAATCTTTAGTGTTGTTGTTGGTTTCGGTTTTTTCTTCTTTTTTATCTTTTTAATTGTTTGTTTGTTTGTTTGTTTTGGTTTATTCATATTTTGTGATGGAGGTCTTTTTGACGGTGAATAAGACTTTTTATTCTATGAGTCACGGGTGTTATCAAACAGTTTGTCATTTTACAGTTCAATGAGCCAGTAACGTTCAAATTTGAAGTTTAAATCAACCAGTCACATTCAAAGTTGTGGTTTAAATCAACCAATCACAACCTTGGTTTCTTTTATTGAAAATTTTCTCTTTGTTTCATCATTTGGCTTTGTTTCTTTACTTTGAAATTGAAATTTTTATGATCTATTGGTAATAAGACTTCGTGTCGTCCAGTTGGGTTTTTTAATTATACTCGTGGTCAACAAATCGAACTCCCGCTGGGCGGTCGTTCGATTTTGTTATTACTGGTATAGACCGAATTAAACTCCACTCGGTCCTATTACCATTATAAAAGGTGTATACCATAACTGGAATCCAGGCGTCAGCGAATGATTTGTCCAGATTTATCGATTTTGTTTATGTCTGCAGATATTTTCCCCCCAGTCCGATGTGTGGAGTTATGGTGTTTTATTATGGGTGCTTTTTTCGTTTGGTGAAAATCCATATTCTGAGCTGGTTAGTGTTAAGGTGGATTAATGGTTACGATCCGATTCAAAGGTCCTTTTGCTTTCTCGTAAGCTGGTAACCTTAAAACATATGATTTAGAATCACGTACTTTGTTTTCTTGTGTTTTCTAACTGATGTTAAAAAACCCAAATTTGACATTACAGGAAAGAAAAGCTAACTCATGCGTGTAAGTCAAAGCTCATGGTCTAGACAGTACTAAGAAATAAACAAATTAAAGTTTTGTTGTGGTGTTTTTATTATGGAATTTAAAATAAGGATGCAACTAGTTGACAGTGGTTGCTTTTAGGTTATTTGCGCGGCTCTTCAAATTTAATTAATTAGGTTTTGGTTTTAGCCTGCAGACCAACTAGTCGACAAGATCGAAAAAGGGTACCGAATGAAATGTCCTAAAGCATGTAATACCGTCATCTATGGTATGATGAGCAACTGGTGGAATATTGATCCAAGGGAACGTCCAAGTTTCAAAGAGATTTATAAATTATTGGCCAACTATTTTTACGGTATGTAATGTCATGTAACTAAACTGTGCCATCAATTTTTTTCCAAAAACTGAAATCTTTTTTACAATGTGAAAAATTTCTGAACAAGCTTCTAAGGTCAATATTTTTATGCACTTTTGTTTAGCAACTTGTCGGTGATAAGTCAATTTTCTAAGATTTATTTTACGTATTCATCACTTCATCATGACTTTCTTCGGATGTTGTATGAAGGTTAATGTTTTGTACCCCAATTGCCGCTTCGTGGTTCATTAGTTCATTGTAACTATATCGCCAGTGCATTTGATCAATTAATTTTTTCATGTTAAGAATTTAGGGGTATTTGCCATTGTTTTGCCGTATAAAGATAAGGTAACGTTGTAACTTGAATTAGGTAGGGCTTACCCTAACCCACTTTAACCTACTTTAAAATGTGGATTAATTCAAAGTTATTTATGCAAATAGATGAGGTGCCTAAAGAAATTCGTGCACGAGGACGTTTGGCTTTAAAGGCCTACAAAAAGGCTCTGTCAGAAGGGAAGACATGTGTCAAACGCGTGCCAATCATGTTAATTGGGCAGGACCGCTCCGGAAAAACCAGCCTTGCGAAATCTCTCAAAGGAGAGCGATTCAACTTGGAGGAAGNGACACTCCAGAGCTTAACAAAATGGTGGTCCTTGACGCTCAGTGGTTGATTGATGTTTTCAAGGAAGTTATAACTATTAGGCCATTTGACAGCAATGAGAAAAAATTTGAAGAGCTTTGGCTAAGGCTTGAAAACGAAGGAATCTTGGAGGAACCTCTTCTAGAACATGTTTGGGGTTCTCTATATCACAAAGAGGACACTTGCCAGGGTCTCATTGCGATCATGGAGAAGTTCAGTTTGCTTTGCTCTTGGCCCTTTTTGGATGACTCATGTAGTAAGCAGTACCTAGTGCCTTCCATGTTAATGTCGCACCCACCAGAAGAAATAATGGAGCTGGTTGTATCTGCAGAAATTCCCCCTCTCTTTATCAAATTTGAATCTGGACAAGTTCCACCTGGCTTGTTTCCTCGATTGGTGCTGCAGTTTTTACAGTGGTGCAAACAAGAATGTACAAGCCCAGATCACCCTCAGCTTTACCACAATTTTGTCAGAATTTACGATTCCAAAGAGGAAAATTGTTCCGTAATCCTCCTGTGCCATATGTCGTCAATAGAGGTTGTTGCTCACAGAGGTGATGACGGTCATGAGGTAGCACACTGTTCAAAGTCAGAGATAACTTCGCCTGTGGAGAACCACCACGACGCCTTTGCTTGTGCAGTATTGAGGCAACTGAAATTGGTGCTTGAGTCCATGCGAAGGGAATTCTGTTGGCTACAGAATATGAAATATGAAATAAGTTTCTTGTGCCCTGTTTGTTGTCGAAGAGGTGCAGTCAGCTACTGCCGAACACATCGGAGAAAAAATTGCAAGCAAGAAGAATGCTTCCACTTCTGGCCCGAGTCAAAGCTGTTCAGCGACAAGAAGATGATCTGTTGCACCAGATCTGAAACTGCTAAGATGAACAGAGTTTCGTTGAAAAACTTCGAGCCTTGGTTTTCTCCTATGAGAAATCAGGTAAATGATTTTAGATAACACAATACTTTCTTTGGAGGTGAATTTCATTTTGATGAGATGTACAGAAAATGTGTTACGTGTTTGTCCTCAAAAGATAAGACGAGACCGTAAATGTTTAACTACTTGACTGAAACCGTCAGAGGACAGGTCCATAAAGACAAATAAGGCACCTATATTTTGGTTCGGTTGTAAAAGTTAAGTGCTTCGGAATATTACTTGTTTTCCCATGCAAAATGAACAAAGTTATCCTTTTGTCACACATGCCTAAGGCAAGTATTGTAATTAAGGAAATGCATCAAACGTACAATGGTTAAAAAACGTTGCATTCCCATGATGGTGCTTAATTCTTTTTCCTTTTTTTAACAGTTTGCTGTCGATAAATGTGGTGACGGAAACTTAGCCTCTGTTGAAGGTAACATTACTGTATATGTTGTTTGATGGTTCTCTCTAGAAAACGGAATAGGCAAAAAGTCCTTCATTTGACTGTTAAAAAATACATTTCATTTGACAAACCTTCAGACTGAAGCAAATATTGCCCAAAACTTTTCATCTTGTCTTTATTTTAAGATGGTGAGGAAAATTTTTCTGCCAATGAGTTTTTGCGAATCCGTTTAACACAGCGGCGAGACGACCAAAATATTTCACCACAATTAAAGGAGAGTCTGCAGCTGGAAGAAGCCTTTCCAGAGACGCTGGAGTCTGATTCCAAACGTGGTGATATGGTGCAAAACCTGGATAAAACTACAAGTGAGTGCATCTTAAGCTTGCTTGTCCTTTCTGTTTTATTAGAAAAAAAAATAACAATGATCACTGCTATAAGAATATCAACATTTTAACCTAACATCATGAAGAAAAACAAGGGAAGGTTGAAGGCCATAGTTAGATTGCAAAACTGCCAATGTTCTGAAAATATCCGTGGCAGTTCTCCAAAGACATTACGCAGTGAATAAATTATTTGAATTATCATTGATTGATGACTCATCTTTTCCTTTTGTTTAACCTAAGCAACCACCGAAGTTTCCCTACCTGATAATGTTAAGCAATCCCTCTTGTCAGCGTCGTGCAATGCCAACGAGATTGTTCAACAACTGAAGGAGAACCTGCAACTGGACAAAGACGCTCTTGAGCAGCCAGACCCTGACACCAAGATAATAATCCGTAATCTGGCACAGAAAGCAAAATATCTAAGGAGACTTGATGTCTTTGAACATTTAAGAGAGATTGTACCTGCTGGAACTACTGGTTAGTTGTTTGTTCTTGCGAAATCTATCTTGCCGTACCCTTACGTATCCCATAGTTACCTGGAACATGAAACTATGGGATACGTGAGGGTACTGCAGAAATCAAATCAAAATTATAAAGAAAACATAAATCTTTATAAATTTTTACTTTGACAACCAACTGCAAAGCTGGTATTTGACCTGAAAAACTACATTTTCTGATGACTCTTTCTTTATGCGTTGGCAGACTCACTAACCGCGTCTAGAAAATAGAATGACCAGTGGTATGTTCAAGGTGTTCGGTTCGCGNTTGTAATTCCAGTCTGGAAGGCTCTAAGTGGGGGATGGTTGGCCATTTGTATGGTTATTCCAATCAACTCAGTGATTGGTGGATTCATTTGAGTATATTCATTTAATCGATCACATTGTCTAATTACAACCCTACAGATTTGTAAATGAAATGGAGTTCTTCACCCAATCACGTTGGAAGAAATTGTAAACTTAAGGTTATAATCTTTAATTTAAAAGAGACGATGCAGATCTCTATTTCGAATATTGCTATTGGCGTGTCATATAGTTTTCGATATAGCATGACTATGTGATAATTTCTGGTAGAGGATTGTTATATGCATTGAAGTAAGATGACATAGTGGAGATGTAGTAATACTGTACTGTTTTGAGAGTTGCTGATTCATATAGACTATATGTAAAGTTAATGAAATGAAATTCCTCAAATGGTACGTCTATGAAAGAACCTAGAAGTTTCAAAGAGAAATATACATCCATAAAAAGTCATGCCGTCGATGAGATTTAGTTTCTTATCTTATAGTATTTTTACACTGCTAGTATCAGATGACTTTGATTTTATCTTGCAAATGTAAATTCATATTTCGTTTAACAGAGGTACTCCCGTAACAATTGACATAAGTACAAAATTCGAAGAGTAATGTTGTCTGAGGCGATACATGAAGCTTTTAACCTACTTTGAATTAATATTTGCGTTTCAATAGTTGCACTCACCTTTCAAAATTATGATTTCGTAAACGCTTGCTATAGATCACAGCGGTTTACGTTTGAAAGCAAAGTAAGGCTTGGTTAATCTTCTAGAGAAAGAAGCAATTCATTTCTCGCCTCTTTGAAGAACATTAGTTTCCTATAGGTTTGCTGTAGTTTGCTACAAATAAACGTTTTGGAGTGTTTATTATTTGTGGTGTTAACTTGTTTTGTTATGATCGCCATTACTTCCTATGCAAATAATCCCTACAAACTATATCTGAACGCTAGAGCCAGTCTTATTTCAATGGTTCCCAATATAGCACGCAAAGTCAATCAAAGTCAGAATCGTCCTGGAAACACCGACATCTTAGAAACTACTTTAATAGTTTTAACAATTTGACTTAAAAGTCAAATAAATGTATGGATTCATCAGGGCAATAGGCTTATTAGAGAAATCATACACTCTAATTTTCAGTGTAACAGGAACTTTTGAGTGAGTGTGGTATGCATTCAGCTTAACTCATTTTCAGTAAAATGAGAAGAATGTGGCAGCGAAATGGCCTGTAACTTACGCAAGCGTAAAGGCTTACCACTGTGGTTATTTCAATTAAGGTCCCATTCTGAGTTTGAAATGTCAGTTCTGAAATCCACCTCCAAGTTAACCCAACTATTTTTATTATCAAAATAGTTAAAAAACAAACCTTTGATTTAGGTGGCGATGAATGGATGGAGCTTGCAGAAGGACTGGGACTGACTCCTCAAGAGATTCGTTTTCTTGACAAGCGTACACTGAACCCAATGGACGCGGCTCTGTCTTTTATTGCAAAGCAGCGCCACTTAAGCGTGGGCGAGCTGTACGAATTGTTTATTGCACATGACTTTCCTATGTTAGCTGACCTATTGTAACTGAAGAAGATTGTTGCGAGCAAATATTTGTCTGACCTCGGCTTATTTTTTACCTTTGGTAACAGCCAATCTGAACCTAAAAAGGACACTACATGCCTGGATATTTAGGCTTTTACCTTTTTGCTTTGTTAACGATAAAGAGTGGGGCGCAAAAACCTTTCACCCTGTGTAATTAGGTCCTGTTACCAATTAATCATAACCATTGCAATTTCCGAGATAAACAGAGGGGATTAATCGAAATAGGGGTTTGTAATTCCAGTCTGGAAGGCTCTAAGTGGGGGATGGTTGGCTATTTGTATGGTTATTCCAATCAACTCAGTGATTGGTGGATTCATTTGAGTATATTCATTTAATCGATCACGTTGTCTAATTACAACCCTACAGATTTGTAAATGAAATGAGTTCTTCATCCAATTACGTTCAAAGAGATTGTAAACTTAAGGTTATAATTTTGATTTAAAAGAGACTACGCAGATCTCTATTTCGAATATTGCTTTAGGCGTGTCCTATAGTTTTCGATATAGCATGAGTATGTGCTAATTTCTGGTAGAGGATTGTTATATGCATTCAAGTAAGATGACAGTAGAGATGTAGTAATACTGTACTGTTTTGAGAATTGCTGATTCATATAGACTATATGTAAAGTTAATGAAATGAAATTCCTCAAATGGTATGTCTATGAAAGAACCTAGAAGTTTCAAAGAGAAATATACACCCATAAAAAGTCATGCTGTCGATGAGATTTAGTTTCTTATCTTGTATGGTATTTTTACACAGCTAGTATCAGATGACTTTGATTTTATCTTGCAAATGTAAATTCATATTTCGTATAACAGAGGTACTCACGTAACAATTGACATAAGCACGAAATCCGAAGAGTAATGTTGTTATCTGAGGCGATAAATGAAGCTATTAAGTAACCTACTTTGAATTAAGATTTGCGTTTCAATTGTTGCACTCAGCTTTCAAAATGATGATTTCGCAAACGCTTGCAATAGATCACAGCGGTTTACGTTTGAAAGCAAAGTGAGGCTTGGTTAATCTTGTACAGAAAAAAGCAATTAATTTCTCGCCTCTTCGAGGAACGCTTAATTTCTTATAGGTTTGCTGTAGTTTGCTACAAATAAACGTTTTGGAGTGTTTATTATTTGTGGCGTTAACTTGTTTTGGTATGATCGCCATTGCTACCTATGCAAATTATCCCTACAAACTATATCTGAACGCTAGAGCCAGTCTTATTTCAATGGTTCCCTACATAACAGGCAAAGTCAGTCAAAGTCAGAATCGTCCTGGAAACACTGAAATCTTGGAAACTATTTTAATAGTTTTAACCATTTGACTTAAAAGTCAAATAAATGTTTGGATTCCGTTAAGGCAAGAGGCTTATGAGAGAAATCATACACTCTAATTTTCAGTGTAACAGCAACTTTTGGAGTGAGTGTGGTATGCATGAAGCTCAACACATTTTCAGTAAAATAAGAAGAATGCAGCAGCGAAATGGCCTGTAACTTACGCATGCGTAAAGCCTTACCACTGTGGTAGTGACTGTGCCCCCGAGTAAGGTGTTGGTCTTCACGTGAAGCTTAGTAATGAGGTCATGTTTTCCTAAATAGTTGCCAAGCTTGAACATCGATGTCTTCCGTTTAACTTGTTGAGATTTTCTAGGTTACTTTCTTGAAATTCAAACATTACACAAATGTCGAAGGCTATTTTACTTACCAGAGAACTCACACGAAAAGATAGTTTTCTCACATGGGCCCTTGAACGGCTAAATCATGTAACACGAACTGATTACGTTACCATACCGAAACGAAAAGAGTTGCAATTGAGGTAAAACCATCTTACACAAAATATGTTATGAAATAATTTCCCAATGGGTAAGAAATCACACATAAGAGGTTGGAATCCTCAGGGGGAGGAGTGGGGTCTAAACATTTTTGTGTTTCCAGAATAAGAGTCTTTAACATAACCAAAAATCATCCAACTCCCTTTCGCTTAGACCCCTCTCAATATCCAACTGCCGGTCCCTCGTGTGGTTCTAGTGATACATTTAAACAGCAATCTTTAAGTTAGGTTTGGAGCGCTTTTCTTCTATAGCTTTTCTGACCTATTCATCTTACAGCAGGTTGAAAAAGAATGATAGTGTACGGTACGTCAAATATGCATGTCGGCGAAAGCCTAAAATAAGTAAAAGCAGATATAAAACATTACTTATTACCAAGAATTGTGGTCGAATACACCTAAAAAGTCTGTAAACGTACGGAGGTATCAAAATGATAAAAGAAAGTAATATCACGTTTGACTCTTTCGTTACAGTGATACTTTAAATATGTCCCATTTCCTGTTCTAAAACTTTCCTCATGCCCGTGGACAATGGCAGGTCCGACTTGATTTCTTTCCACATTTCCTTAAGGACCATGACGGTGTTGATTTCCTGTCTTCTCAGGTAGTCTAGTGCTGAATTTACTTTCCCCTGTTCGGTCCAGTGGTGCTGTTGCTTTAGCCGGGCAAAGAACTTCTCCACACTATCCACTCCACTGCTTTGTCCTGTGGAATGGTTAATAGTTTGTCCTAATATTTTCTTCCTCAAAAAATTTAAGTTGGACCTGGGTAGGCTGTAAATAACAGTAACAACCATTGGCGTATTTCCATTTAGCACACTAAGCAATGAAATGCTTATGCCCATCGAATAAAGATTTTCCCAATGAAATTAGGGCGTACTTAGTTCTATACAATACCAAGCAATGATATGAAGGAGAACATAATGTCTTCGAGGAAAGCAATGGATGTTGTTTTAGTTTGACTCTTAAAATTACTCGTTTGTTTATTACTCGATGATCATATTCCCTAGACATATATCAACACCAAACATTTCGCTTCCCACGGAACACAGATGAGTTTGTTTCACCTCAGTGTAATTACGGGGTACTGTTTTCAAACATAGCTCGACTATTTACCAACCGAATTGAGGCGGGTATAATCTCATGAAGCCTTAATTTACACATTTTGAAAGGAAACAAAAACATTTTCTTGAGTGCGAGATATAACTGTGTATTGTAAGCGTTATTAAAATACCTGAAGCCATTGCTTCCCTTTTCCTGTGAGTTTTTTCTCTCTGCTTACGTATTTGTATGAAGCTTTCAGCAGAAATCAAAGCGGACTCCAAAATGTCAAGAGCGGCTCGCTCTACTGTAATACTCCTGTTGTTATTCTCCTCTGTATAGTTAGAAATGAGGTGAGTTCTCCCTCCAGCACCGCCGGTTACCTGAGCTGCCATGCCACATGCATTTCTTTGGTCCTCTTCAGTTTTCAATTTGTCCAGACACGTGATTACAGTTACAGGAGTGTGACCTGCTCGTATGGATGAAATGAGGTGTGATACATCCATTTTACTGGCAAAGTGACAAATTAATCGAGGTTCCCTAGCAATGTGTTTCAGAAGTACCCTCAATCTTTGGTTGTAGCACGACAGACTAATTAGGTAAGTGAAATGCAAAACAAACTGAATCATTTTTACTTCTCCTATAAACTTAAATAGGTGCCAAAATTAACAACCCCAAATGATGTGCTTGCAAAAGCAATATAATATTCCTAAAATATATTGCAGTTGCATAGTTTCCACGGTGACATTCCTCAGTCTCTCCGACCTGTTATTTTTACTAAACATGATTATTGCCATGAAAGTAAGTAATGAATGAATATCGGATTAATACTTTCATAATCTGTTAAATAATTCAGCTCTTACCCTCTCTTTGAAAGTGAGCCCGGATCTTCTTAAGTGGCTCAGTGTAAGTGCCTGTCTCTAGTCGACGGTCGTTCCCTTTTACAACAAAAATTACAGCGTGTACGTATTTAGAGAACGGTTGAATCTTCCTTGCTGTCATCATCGACTCCTGCCCTCCATCGCTAGAGCGATTTTCAGACTTTTCGTGTTCTCTCTCAATTTCCTCTCCAGGGCGAATTCTGTTTACAAATCAAATGCACGGAAGGGCATCTAAGGAACTTGTATAAGTAATTTTTGTAACCCGCGGCCCCTTACAAAACCTTCCTTCAGGGCTGCAGTTTTCGGTCATATAACGCGTCAAGCCGGACCAACCTCATACGAACACGAAATATTTGACAGATCAAAAAGAATGTCATACTTTGTCCTGGATTTTCTTCAAAGCTATAAATTTCTTTTTATTTACCTTCCTGTTAGGATGTTCAGGCATTCATCAAAAAGCTTGTCGTCTCGTTCAAAAAATCCTCTGGTGTCCAGTATCCGAATTTGTTTTTGCACGTAATATTCCTGGAGAAGAATATCGCCTTCTCCTCCCTTTCCATGTTCAAAAGCGCTTTGGGTCTCTCCGATAGCTCGCTGTAGAGTTCCTGGTAAAACTTTTAATTTGATAATAAGATAGAATTGGTGGTAAATACGTACAGATGACGAATACTATTCTTAGCAACGACATGTAACTGTGTAAGCTCTACTTAAAGCAAACAAATAAATCAAAATCAAAGCAATACAAAAAATTGAAAATTAATATAAAAATTCAAGTTGTAACGCACAACGAAGTTGTCGTTTGGTTGAAATTTCCAACGCTGTAGGTCTTACTTAACAATAAAAACTTTATGGCAACACTGAAATCCTAGCCAAGAATCTGGCTGATCGATGATTCAATGGACGTATAGTAATATAAGAAACGAAAGAAAGCGTCTTTCATCATGCCTGAATAAACTTTATTCTTACTGACCTATGAAACTGGTCTTTCCGGAACCCGCTGGCCCGATTAAGGCAATGCGAATGAATTCAATGTTGTCCACTCGCAGATCACGGAAGGCTTCTTTCCTAATACGTGGGTGGCATTGAAAGTCGTAATTCATCAGTGTTTCTTTGAGTTGGAGCGTTTTTTCCTTTTCCTTTAGCTCTCTCGCTAACTTTTCTGTTTCACGTTGTTGGACATCCAAGTTCTCTCTTAGCTCTTCGTCTTCAATTCGAGCCCTTTCTTCGGCGTCACGCAACGATCGCAGACGCAGTCTTTCCAACTCACCCTGCAGCTCTTTCATTTTCCTCTCGTGCTCTTCTTGGGCTCTGAGCCGACCTTGCTCGCACGCTGTCGGATCCGCGGTGTCTCGGCTTTCTGAATATTTCTTATTGAAGTAAAGCAAAATAAGTAAATACGCAGAACACCATGGAGCCTTGTTCTGATCTTTAAATATCTGAAAATAATTAACGAAAGCAGGCTCCGTGTTCCTGGGCAGTCTTCTTGCTGGGATAATACCAACGGTGCTATTTGTTCAGAGAGGATATTGTGAAGGATACATATTAGAACAAGACCGGTTTTTTATTTTTTTTTAATTTTTAAGATTCATGCATCAAAATTATTATGAATGAGAGACGCTTACTTTGTTGATGTGTTATCAAATTTGAATCAAATTCCCCGTTCCAAAGTGTCTCTTTTATTTTCCGGCGATAAGGTGTATCTTTCCACTTCAAGGAGCTGTTTCTATGAATCCGGCATTAGCCATTACAGAAGAAAGGTATCTCATCGACTTTATGATCCAAATTTTTCTCATAGTGCACATCGAAAGAAGTGTTTTTTCCCTAGAAATTGCCAGTCAGAGGAAAATTTCCCGGAAGTCGCTTTTAATACGTCTTGAGGTAGCAACACCAGAAATCGTAGCCATGGACAAAGGCGTACAAATTGACTTTCGATTTATACGTTTTTGGATTCATCATCTTTGCAAATGTGCTCCTCAGCTGATGTTTTTTCGAAGGAGTCAAAGAGGCGAGCTTCAAAATTCGAATGTTTACTCAAAGCGCCGCAAGGAATTCGAAGGTAATTAAATTGGAATTGGCCCATCGCTTCCTTCGCAATTCTCATGCGTTATTGCAGAAAAGAGTATCTAAAGCGTATGATTTGTATGTACTTACAATTTTTGACTCTTCACTTCCCATTTTGGAAAAGGAGACGATTTTTCAACACTCGTTCTTTTCTTCGCTGACTGCCGAATACGACACTTAGCGAGTTTCGTGGGACTTCGGTTCTCAGAAATGACGTAGTTGACCCCAGATCTCCGGCCGTTCGTTTTGAGTGCATAAATCATTATTTTTCCCCAGATTGCTTCAGTAGATTCTGCTAGAGTCATGCAGACTGATGGAGTCGTTTTGCCTTTGGTGCAGGTTTGGCCAGTTGCCGACATAACAATTTTTCCTGACTGTTTCTAACGGGTCAGGAATCCCTTCATTGTCCATAACATAGATAGTGTATAAAAGATTTCTAGTTCATTGTCCCTACCTAAGGAGAAATTTTCTGTACATCATCGACGATGTCAGCGACACGATAAGGGTTGCAATCTAGATGTTTGCAATCTAAGCTAAATATTCGCTTCTGATCCCCTTTGGCACTTTAAGGTCGGGAAACGGTTGAACGATTTGTGTAAAATTCGCTCCTCGTTATATAGAGAGGTCTGATGTTGATTTTTCTATAAAATATTTCCAATTTGACCTTAGATCACATAACACAATTCACCAATTTCAATTTATGATGAATTGATGAAAAGTATCGTCTGAAATAATTAAATACAACGTTAGTGCGTTTCGGTTAGAAACTTATTTCTCAGAATTAGTATGTTTGTTTGATGATTTCATCCTCTTAATCACCAAGAGAAGGCCTTCATCAGCACAAGAGTTCCTCCCTGTCGTTGACGTTCCACCGGCAAGCATTTCTATCTGAGAATACCTTAATACCAAGTATCGGCAAGGGCTAAATCACACGGAATAAACAAAGTTAGTTATCGCCACGGTCTATGTGAGCGGAAGAAGTGCCTTCGCAAGGAAACCAAGCTGGTAAGTGTCACGTACTTCCTGTCTGTTCGCGTGACGTTCTATTTACCGGCATGCATTTTTTTCTGAGAAAAACGCCATTACCAGTTTCATGGAAAACAGCTTTTGAACATGGACGAACAAAGCAAAATAGAGCAAAGCATTATAGAGGCAATTAATGATGAACCATATCAGAAAGTGAGGAAAGAATGTCGCAAACGTGTCTTTCTTTTTAACTGCGACAAAACATACAGTTTGGACTCAGTGGAGAAATTGCTTCTTGACCTGAAAGGCGATATCAGACGAGAGCTCAGCTTCGACATCGTCAAGACTTATTTTCGCCTTTCTGAAATGTCGCATGTGGCTGAGAAGGCCATTCCTAAACTGCAAATGGATGTTGCCTTTTTTGTGGTTCATGCGCATGAATCTCGTCTTTCCATAAACGAGAATAATGCCGGAATCGGTTATGCGAAGATCTACCAAGCATTGCTCCAGGCTACAGGTAAATAAATGACGTGTTCTGTTTTTGCTGTAGATTTTACTTAACGACGGTCATAGTTTGCTCATGGCGGCTGAACATTATTCAAAGAAACACTGAAGATACATTCGGAAATGACATTATATGTTTTTATGGTAAAGGATACCCGATTGAACTACTGCTAGACTGCTAGACTGTTTTTAGTTCGTAAACAAAGCAAGATTATACGGTTTCTCTTTCAATTTGGCCGTTAGCGTGACGCAAACAGCTAAATCAGATTTATGGTAATACAACAAACAAATTCGCTAAATTTAGTTATCACTCTACTCTTTCTCTTTTCATTTAACCAGACGGAAATGTTATAATTGTTATTGGCGGAGACGATCAGTACACGAGCAAAGATGAAGAAGGAAGTTCTGTGATTTCGCGCTGGGCCAGACTAAAGGTTTCCTCTCAATTTAAAGCCGAATTTCTTGACGGAAAGAAGAGCTTTATCTTTTCTTGGAATAAAATTCACAGAAGGATTCACGAAGAAGCGCTTCTGCATTACTTTGACCCAAGCAAGATTGGGCAGAAGTTTGAAAAGGAGTCGAATGAGCGGTCATCGCAAGAAAAAAACACTACTGATAGTCTTCCAGGGACGCCGAAGACCAAGAACACAGCTGCTTCAGAGCCAGCACAGTTTACGGATCAAGGGGTCGTAAGTAAGCAAAGCGAGCAGGAGGCAGTGCCAATCTTACCACCGCCTACAAATGCTGAAAGCAACGGAGACTCATCAGAAACAGAAGAAGGAAAGCATTCAATTTTAGATGACCTGTCCGAGTTAATATTGAAGGAGTATGTCGTTGTAAGTGATGATGGTGTGGACTGTGAAGTAAGAGGTAACCGTCAGAGAGTATCCAACTGTTGTAATCTTCTTTCGTTTAAGTATCCATGTATTGTGTGATCTTTTTGTAGATATCCGACTTAATACTCATCAACTAATTGCGGTTCAGGAGGAAGTGCTGCCCTTCCGAATGTTACCTAATGGAAAGGTCCTGGCACAGTTTCGGGCTATCTGATATTTGAAATAAGGGTGCTGTCAGCGGTCCATTTCAGATTTCTGGATCGTGATAAGAATAATTGTCTCGCCCAAAGGGCCTCTGGAATGGTAATTTTTGTCGTTTTGTTAGCGAATATTCGCTTATCCCATTCTGTTTCGTTTAAAATGACAAAAACAGTGGTTTCTGACCTTAAAATAGAGGTGAGATGTTAATCCGACAGTACATATTCATTCCGTATCTGAAACATCATAAATTAAATATCGAGAATCCGTCGACAGTTACAAAATTTCGTAATTCATTCTAATTTTCCTTAAGAACCATTTTGATGAACCTTTTTTTTAAAAAATGATACCAAAAAGTTCAATCGCGCTTTGTTTTCTCCGAAAAATCGAAAAGCTCAATATACACCTAGATGGCCGTTCTCCCCCCCTCCCCGTAAAACAATGAAAAAAGTATTTATGCAACTTCGTACACCACAGCGCGATGCAATCCCGATTTTAAATTTTGTGTGCTAGCAGATAGTCCTTTTTATCTTTTTGAAAATAGAATTTTCTTGTCATTTTGTTACGTTTAAGTCCGCATAGCGACCCATTTAAATAATGAACTTTGTATTCTTGAGGAAAAATAGAATGAGTTACGAAATTTTGCAACTATCGGTGGATTCACGATATTTATGGTCAGTGACTCTTGAATTTTTAAGGGGTTTCTGAAGAACAACAGATGAACGGCATAACGGAGGTTGGTACGCTTGTGTTTAAAACTCGAGTACGAAATGGAAAATTCACAGAGGAGGAGATAGAAGAATGGCGCCAGCAGTGGAAACTCCTTGATGAATTGCTGCCACGAATATCGAAAGATTTGGCGAATGTTGCAGAAGCTAATGTGGAGGTCTATCGTGTTAAACAGGGAGGTGCTGCCCGCGTTGTTATTAAAGACCTTTCAACCAGTTATCTGTCACTATACATCACCACAGTCATTGAGTTCTTTTACAATGTGATAACCGGATTAATGGATAATGTGTATAGTTGCTTCGTTCAAAAGAAAAATCTGGAAGATATCGATATAGATTGGCCGTAAGATGAACACTTGCACTGCAGGGCTTAAGTACATTAAGTGAGACTGAAACTGCTTCAATATCGGATATACCCATAGATATTTGTAGTTTGAATGGGTCACACTGGCATTTATACCTCAAAGTTTATTATATGTCTAAGCCTTAGTTAACACCAAATTGCACTCGAAATCATGGTGTTACCTATACCAATAAGAATAGATCAGTAAAGTGCGTTTGATGTAATTTGGTAATGGATTTTTTTGTAACGGCGTAACAAAATTCAGTGTATAATTAAACCTACCAACATCGAATGGTAGCTTGGCACAGTTCTGATTTAAAATGATTTATTCCGTTCAATGTCAAAGACAAGAACAAGCTATGGTATTTTTAATATTAGATATCAAGGCACTAAGGTTTGGAATGCAATCAGTGATCACATTAAGCTTCTATCGCTTAAACAATTTAAGAAAAAGCTAAAATCAAGTATTCTTGCAGGTTACCAACTGAAGTAATTATACTATACATTTTCTTTCTTCCGATTAGTTAATCTGCCTATACGTACTTTATTTTCCTGCTTATTTTCGCTAATTTGTATTTTAAGAATATGTGTGGTACTTTAAGAAGTCCTCAGTACCTGACACCGTTAGTCATTACAGTATTTAAAATCCTAAGGATGGCTGCTCAATTCTATTAGCTTAGTGGTTATTTTGGGCAGCCATGCACTTTATTTTATTTGTTTTCCTTTCTTTTAATGTAAGTTTTATTCAGGGTGCAAATAAAATTGTTGTTATTGTTGTTGTTGTTTTTGTTGTTGTAATCAAGTTGTTGGTTTTATCTAAATACTATCCCATCAAAGAGACAAAACCGTCGGCATTTCGCTTAGCCAGCCATAATTGACTTAATAGTGCACAAGTCAGGCTTGTTATTGCCTAGGGTAATAGTGTCACGTTGTTACGCAAGAACTGTATAGTTACACGTTCTTTAGCCAATTTGGCTGCATGTTGAACTTTGGACAGCTGAAGTTTTGTTTCTTTCTTCCCATGCCAAAAACGTGTTGTGGATACTTCTGATCTTCGTTTACCGCACACTTATGACAATATATCAGACGGTACCTACTTCCATAGAGCGCAGTGAAACAACTAGGTTTTTTTGTTACAACTGAATCACGTGCGCGCAATGTTGTCGTGCATTTTACCGAGTTATCTGTAGTTCTTTTTTTTTTATTATGAAAACGTATAAACGCTGACCGAAAGACAATGTGACGGTTAATGTGTCTTACCGAAGAACCTAACACAACAGTCTCAGCCAGGAACCGAACCTAGACCTTAACGCAAGTCTTACGCGCTTCCATCAGCTCTTCACTTCTCTGACTTTTTGATTAAACGGCAAATCACAAATATATATATGTCGGTCAATGCATAGAAAAGAAATAAACATAAGTCACAACAATATCATCAATCGAATGTCCGCTGTTTAATTTTGTCCTAGGATTTTATATTCCGATGCCACTTTCATTTTGTCACCTGAAGCATTGGCAGATGAATAAGTCTTGACTCGTCATTTTCACCATACAAGTAAGCTAAAGGAGACCAAGCCGCTGATGTCACGCACTTCCTGTCTGTCGTGACGTTCCATTTACCGGCATGCATTTTTCTGACAAACAATATCATTTTCTGTTTCACGGAAAACAGCGGTCAACCATGGATCAACGGCAGAACGAAATGGAGCGAAGTATTTCAGAAGCAATGAATGATCAACCACATCTGAAAGCGAAGATAGAATGTCGCAAACGTGTCTTTCTTTTTAATTGCGACAAAACGTACAGTTTAGAATCGGTGGGGAAACTGCTTCTTGACATGAAAGGGGATACAAGACAAGAGCTCAGCTTCGACATCGTCAAGACATATTTTCGCCCTTCTGAAATGTCGCATGTGGCTGAAAAAGCCACTCCCAAACTACAAATGGATGTTGTCTTATATGTGGTTTATGCGAATGAACCTCGTCTTTCCATAAACGAGGAAAATGCTGGACTCGGTTAGGCAAAGATCTATAAAGCACTACTTCAAGCTACAGGTAATTTTTCGGTGTATGTGATGAGGTAGGGGGTTTGGTTAGGTCACATTGGTAGTCATGTTCACTTAAGGGACCGGTCGTTATTTATCACCTTTGAGGAAGGGGTGCGTGCAATTTTAGTTTTGTTACGTCTAAATTTATATAATGTCCTCATAGGCCTTGGCGGTCAGTCTTCGGTCATTCCGCGCCACCCCCACCCCCTCTTCGGAAATAAATAAGTGTGTGGTCCCTAAGTGTCAAATAAGCGTTATTAAACAGTCGCTTATTCATCTTTCCTTTAAACAGACAGAAATGTTCAAATTGTAATTGGTGGTGACAATCATTAAAAGAGTACAGATGAAGAGAAGTCGTCTGTAATTTCTCGTTGGGCAAGGAGAAAAGTTTCCTCTCAGTTTCAAGACGAGTTTCTGGACGGAAGGAAAAGCTTCATCTTTTTGTGGAACAAAACTCACAGAAAGATTCATGAAGAAGTGCTACCGAATTATTTTGACTCAGGTAAGAGTGGACAAAAGTTTGAATGTAAGCCAAATGAGCGGCCTGAACTATCTGAAGATACTCCTCACAAGGCACACGAGACCGAGAAGCTAGAAGCGGTATTGCGGGAGCAATTAACGGATCGTCCACATGCAACAGATGGGGCGCACAGTTCCTCAGAGAAAGACGTAAACACAAACACATGTTTATCTTGGAGGTGAGGTGTAATGACGAAGAAGATAAATCAAAAGAAGAAAGAAAGAAGGAAACGACGTGGAAAGATCCTAAAAGTAACGGGGATGGACCCTCGGAAGACTGTGCCAGGAAAATCGCCCCGATGAAGACAACGGAAGATGTGTTGATTTCTTATTTACGTGATATAGGCACGATAGGCATGGATGACTATGTCACAGTAAACGAGGATGACCTTATTGATGAGGAAAGAAGTAACTATTTGAGAGTATCGTTGTGTCTAAGTTTACCTTAGGCTATCGATTGGTTGTTTTTATTTTGAGTTTATTCAGTTTATGAATAGTTCGATGAAATCTTCGTCACCAAGAAAATATTAACGGAGAGCTCTCAGTTGATATTCTCCTGTCGTCAGATATGGTTCGATTTTTACATAGTTACGTAATTGTGGGAGGTGATTTGGACCATTTTGTGTTTTATTATTTGTTTTCCCGTGCTAGGAAATTTAAGGCAATTTTTGTTCCATTGCAGTGCGTTAGGGTTGAAGCCCCTGTTAATTTTTCTTTTTGCTCAGATGATCAATCAAGGTTCCTTACATATTTATGATAGCGTGAATTGTAGACATAGCATCTCCCTTTTCTGAGAGTATTTACCCAGGCCGACGCATGTTTTGGCTTTTGAATATAGTCTGAAATGATGTTCTTCCTGTCTCAGAGAGATTCTAGTCCTTCAGCACGTTTGAAAGTGTTTTTTAATGTTCTCTGTCTCATGAAAACCAGTTTTCGTGTCGCATATTCAGCGAACACACCATGTTAAAGCGACAGTTTCCGTAACGAAGATTTTCAATTTTCAGCGTTTTCTGAGGACCAGCAAATGAATGACAAAACAAATTAAGGGACGCTTGTGATGAAAACCGTCATGCGAAATGGCAGCATCCTCTAAGTATGCTTGAAATCCGCAGTGGATACCTCCGAGTGGATTTTTACCCCATATATATATTTGAGCAGCTGGCACATGTTGCAGAGATCGAAGTGGAAATCTTCCATAAGGAGGAGGCAGGCGCTTTGTGCGTTGTGATGAGAGAGAATTCGGTCATCCATGCCATTATTGAGTATTTTTGGAACATGATGAGCGGGGTTTTGACCGTCTTTACAATCTCAGTCTTAAAAGTGCCTGAAGATAACGATATAGAGAAGCAGACTGATGAACTTCTGATCTGAAGCACGAGGGATCTATTTGTTTTTCAAAACAAGCGGCAAGAACCCATAATCCCCTATCCCCCTTCCCCGCCCCCTCCATTTCCTTGTGTAAATAATTATATGCCAGAACCACGTAAATCTCTAAAGTACTTGTTAGCTTCGTTAAAGTCACGTAAACGACAACAAAATGTATTAGGAGCATCAATAGCTAACGTGTAGCTGGAACAGACACCTTAGATTAGAAACATATTTGCAGAAAGAGGGGATGGATTTTGAATGTATAGGGATTCTTGGATCCGTTCAGCTGACCGTGATCTGGGGGAAGCCAAAGTTCTGCATTTTTTTTTATCGCTATAATTGTTTTAGTTTAAGACTAGAACAGTGACAGGGTCAAAGCTTGTGGTGTAATTGTAATCTTATCTTTCACTACACAGTAAGAGTATTGTATCGCTTATCCTGTGAACTCAATTACAAACACATTTAGATAGGGTCGAAGTGTTGGAGTACAAACACTAAGACCATATTACCATTTCAAAACAACATTGTGCCTCTTTATCATGTTTAATAAATTTGGCGTACATCTGTACATTGACAGGTCGCAGATGACCTCCTCCTTAATCTACATGTGGCAGCGCAAGAGTAAGCAGGGGGAGTAACGCGGAAAAAAATATCCCGGTTACTACAATACCCGCAAGAATTGTTTGTCTAGAATCCGGACTTTTGTCTAATTCGTCGATTAGATCGTTTGAGCCATGTTCCAATTGGTGACAAGGTTATATATGTCAAATTTCCGGCGAAGTTTAAAACGAGTCATTACAAGGGCCGCCGAAGATAATGCGAACAGCATCATTTACTCTCTCGAAGCCTTCATTCGCCATTCGATGAGGGATGAGTAGACAGAATGAACCCGAAGGATCAATAGCTTAAAGGCGGTGGATCAATGTTACTATAAGTAGAGTCGGCCGACATGTCGGTCGACAGTCGGTCGACAGTGGGTCGATAGTCGATCGACAGTCGGTCGATAGTGGGTCGATAGTCGGTAGATAGTCGGTCGACATGTCGGTCGATATGTCGACCGATATAGGTCGGCCGATAGTCGGTCGACATATCGGTAGACAGTCTGTCGATATTTGACCGACACTTGGCCGACACTTAGCCGACACTCGGTCAACACTTGGCCGATGCTTCACCGATACTTCACTGACAACTTAATCATATACCTGAAAGTTTATGCCTTCGAGTCAAATTTTTCTTCAAATCAAATTTTTCAATACCGACACTGCAACAATACACAACCACACGTGCGACGTTCAAACTATATTTACCGATAAAGTTCAGACACTTGACCGATAGACTACCGACACTCGGCCGATAGACCACTGACACTTGACCGATATTCCACCGACACTTGACCGATATTCCACCGAGATGCGACACTCCATCTGTCGGTCGACAGTCGGTCGACATGTCGACCGACTATTTTCCGACTATCTTCTGACTATGGACCGACTATGGACCAACTATGGACCGACAATGGACCGACTATCGACCGGCTATGGACCGACTATCGACCGACTATCAACCGACTATCGACTGACCTGTCGACCGACTATCGACCAACTATCGACCGACTGTCGACCGACTGTCGACCGATATGTCGGTCGATATGTCGGTCGACATGTCGGTCACCATGTCGGTCGCCATGTCGGCCGACACTACCTATAGTAAAATTGATCCAAGGCGGTTTGGCAAGAGTGTAATCTAGAAGTTGATATTGGAAGTGACAAAATAATTACATCCTTCTAGTGATCTGTTGTTGTGGCGAGTCCCTTGGAATACATATCTAAAGAGTGAAAAGGAAAAAAATTAAAAGGAGGTTTGTGGAATCTTTGCCGCCATGATTGGGGTATCGGTTGAGGTCGACAGAGAAATTGGGACAGAGAACATTTAATCGCAGCGCTACTTGATGTCTTCGAGTCTTCACTGTTGTATCTAGATCTATTTTTGATGAAATCGTATCGGATACATCAAAAGAATAACTCGAGAGAACAGCGCGTTTGCAAACAAGCGGCTGTCACCCCGACCGCCTTATCTTGTGCAGCTACACTATTTATCCCCCTCCCCCCTACCAAAGGGAACATGATCGCAGGTTATGGATACATGGGCAAAAGATATGCGGAGCACGTTAAGTAAGGTTTTCAAGGCCTAATCTAAGACGAAAACTGTGCACCCGAATGCTTTCTATCTGGACATTTTTAAAATGTAACAGAATAATTTCCGCGGTTTCCATCGAGGAATGTATAAACTCACGTTAAGAGTAAGATTGCGAGACATAAGGTAAGTGTTAGTGCTTTACAGTTCATCAGCTATCAGAGGATACCCAAGCTCGACTAATAAGTTGTACAGATCGCCAACATTAACGGAATCCTGGGCAGCAGCTCTAATCAAGACCCCTTCACAAGGATTGCGGACGCGGTAGTCTAAATATCGAATTTCATCAGGATGTAAGCCAAGTTTTTCAGCAAGCAACTTCCAGTCCTGTCCACCTACACGCAGGAAAAAAAAAATAGAGAACAATGCCTATTTCTAATCTCTTTTTAGTAAGACTTAAATGCTCTCATTATCTTTTCCCCAAGAGGAAGAGGATGGAAGGTGAGGAAGTGTTTTGACAGTCTCCCTTGGAATTCCTTCCTCGTCTCGTTTGCCTCTATTCGCCAGAAACGTAAAAAAAGGTGACAGACAATGGCCGGGTTTCCTTGGTACGATTTCTTTTTCTTTTCAGGTATCCATTTTGTACAAGTAGTGTGTTTGACTTACCACTCAGGGATTCTGTAAGCTTTTTCCTTCGACGATGAGAAATGTTACGAATGTCGGTGTTTTCAGGCACGGAGGGACCTACCAAAGAAGAATTAGTTGTTGATTCAAAAAGTCAAGTTCTCGCATCAACTGCCTTCGATCTTTCCAATATTACCCTTAAAAAAGGTCCTTCTTGGAAAATGCTAGATCTAAAGAATAAGGTGATCGCCATGGGGCACCTATTTGAGGTGCATACTCTCTAGTAAAAAAGGATTCTAAATTCACTACAACCCCTTTCAAACCTTAAATCAAAATTTTATAACACGCATTTTTTTTCAAATTAAATTGATCAGCTCATAGTTCTCAGAGTATTTCTTCATTTCAATAATTCATACTTCATCGAGGACTAAGTTAAAAATGTCAGTCGAATTAAGCTGAAACGGTTATGTGCATGTAAATCCCTCATTTGGCTTATTTCCTGGATAAGGATTGAGAAATTTCTTATCCCGACACAGATGCCCTTGCTCTTTCAAGTTTTGGAGTCGTTTTCTTGTACAAGACGGAAAAAACAACTTGGAACAAGTACATCACAGCATGAAAACAAATGAAAGACTCACCAGTAGATCCAGCTGGTGTAATTTTTCTCAGATGTTTCAACACGTCGAACCGATTTTTTGCTACAGACTTCCTTGCTAGCAAATGGATCCTTTTCTTTGTCTCTGGATCTGAACGTTTAGGGAAAGCTGAGTCCGTCTTTAAAATTTCTTGGAATTCATGAAGATCTTGAAAATTTATGCCTCGGTTATCATGTGACGGTAATCTGAGGAAGTCTTGAATCTCACGAGGAAGGCCTTGGGGAACTATTTTATCGTCACTTTTTTGGGAGATTTAGGATAAAAAAATGAGCCGTTACAGTTTTTATTGATAACTAGTCTTGAATTTAGCTTTAAGTAATGCATTTGATCGTTAACGTCCGTGATTGAAAAAGGGACAATAACCATAAGCTGTTACTACCTTCTTGCTGCAAGGAGACCTGTGTCTTAATTGATTCTTCCCTTGTACCCTGTGGACCAAGATAATTGATCGAAATTAGAATGTTGAAATTGATATTGATCTTTCTTGTGATTTTATAATTTTCAGCTCAAGAACACTCCTAATTATTCAGTGCCAGTGTGAAAAAAAAAAGAAACTAATTACAATTCAACGAGCGTGTAAAGAGTATTACCTTTCAATAACCAATAATCTTCACAGCTCAAGTAAGTGGCATACCTGTTGTGGTGTGGTCATTAGCCAGGGCTCAAACTGCTCTTTTCGAACTCTTATTTCTGGTGCCACAGGATTCCTGGTACAGTTAATGATGTTCGCACTGCAAATTTCAGACTCAGACAAAAAATGCAAACACTCCTCTTGCTTACAACCTTGTTGAAGGTGAAATTTACATTCCTTAACAATTCCGCCATTTTGACAACAGATTGGGCACATAAAGCCAACTCTATACCTCGTGTTCTTTGGCCAAAAGAACTTGGGATGCATGGAAGTAAGTATCACTTCCAACTGCTTCCGTACTGCTCGCGCACAATTTGCGTCGTAGGGCTCCTGCCGCGGCAAATCCAACTCTGTGTGTGAACCATCCTCCAACTCATGATTGGCATTATGTCCATGCACAACAACTTCGATTGAAGACGAATGACACTGGAGGATAACAGAGCAGTTCTCCTTCATTGATGGATAGAATCTGACATAATTATTGTACAAGTTATAGTTTGCTGAGTTTGGATTGTTTTCTCTGTTCCACTGAACCAACTGCAGCGCAATTCGGAGAAACAAACCAGAGGGAACTCGTCCAGACTCAAATGTGAGAAAGATAGGAGGAATTCGTGCAGCTGCAACAAGACTTGTAATACCCTGCGTTGGGTAAGACATTAACATGGATGGCACGAGACACGTCTTACCATTAGAAGGAGCAAGCGAAGGCAAAGGCAAAATCAAGCCGAACCTCTCCATAATTGCGAGAAGACTCTCGTAGGTGTTTTTCTTGTCATGTAGAGGGCCCCAAATATATTCCAGGAGATTCTCCTCCAAGATTCCTTCCGTCTCAAGCTTTCGCCATAGATGCTCAAGTTTGCTCTCTGACCCTTCATATAACTTGACTGACATGACCTCCGTGAAAACGTTAATTAACCACTCAGAATCCAAGATAACCAATCTTTTTAGCTCCGGAGTTTCATGGAAGTGAATTAAAATTCTTTGGTCATGCAAAAAGTTCAATATTTTCTGGAACTGTTTTTCGTCACTTATGTTACACTCTTCGTCCGCAAGTAATCTAGCATCCTCGAGGGAAACAAATTTGTGGCCCTCTTCTTTTTTCTTCTGAATTGCTTTTTCAAACATCAATGACTGGATTGGAATGGTTTCTCTCAACTGTGGTAATTCACTGCATGCAGCAAGTACCTCCTTTCGCAAACGCAGAATCTCCGAACACTCAAACTCTCGGCCAGATTTTGCAATGTCGACGACAAAGAAATCTTTGTACAAGTGAACCCCACTTGGCGTTTGCTTTAAAGACCCATAAATATCTCGTGCAATTTTTTTAGAGTCACCGCCGTCACCAAGCGTATCTGCATGAGTGAACACCAAGAAGACTGGTGGCAGCTTTTCCGGCAGTACTTCTGATGTAGACTTTGATGGATTATCTTCCTGTTGGTTGGCTGAGGAGGCAACAGAAGACATCCAAAACTTGAGGTAATCCAAATTTGTTTTTGAGAGGTGGCTGTCTTCTAGCTCTCTGTACCGCCCTTGCTTTACGACGGGTTTGGCGGACGCTCTTGCATTCTTCCGGAGATCGTAAACCAATATGTAGACTGCTTTGGGGGTTAGAAAAATTGGATATGCTGTATAGTTAACTGACTCCCCACAAAAGTCCCACAACATAGAATATATGTCTTCATCCGTAATTTCCGTTTGCGGTAAAGCTTCTCCTGAATTTGAATCGTCGTTAATATTTCGTCCCGTACTTGTGGAATTCTGGGAAGATTCTGGCTTCTTTCTAAACTGAAGATCTTTAAACATCTCGGCAGGGTCACGGCTTTCTAGGTGAATAACATCGGCACCTGTAAATTTAGATTCTGGGCTGTTGCTGGTATGTTTTGAGTTTGAGCTTTCTGAAGAAATGGTCCTACATAGCTCCGATTCAATTGGTGTTTTGTATCTCAAATGTTGAGCGGTGGATCGCGCAGGATGATGATCAAAAGAGAATGCTGAGTCATGATTAGGGTCTTGGCCCTTCTCACCCACTTTCCAAATCTCACGAGACACTTTGAATATAGAGGAATGTGCATCTTTCCCTCTGTTGCTATCTTCATTTACATTGAAAGGTTGGCCCTTGAGTGAATTCTTAACGCTAGTTTTTCCCGAACGGTGCTGTCCAATGAATATGATAGGAACTCTTCTAACGACAGGGGTTCCCTTACGGTGGGCTTTATCGCAAGCTTCAAACGCTAACGGTCCACGTTTAAGAATCTCTCGAGGCACTAGGGATAAAGGAAATTGTTTGAAAGAATTAATGAGGGATACGTGGCAGAAGTTCAGATGATTGTTGCACGTTGTAAGAGTAAGGATTGAACACAACCATAGGCTAGGACCCTACGATTGTCCTGGTTTCATACGCGCAAGATGTAAAAAATAAACAAGCAACTTAACCAGTCAATCAGTCACTCAATCTATCAACCAGACAATTGCTCAACACACCTGTCCCTGTTACGATCTTTGCTACTACCTTTTCAGCTCCCACCGCACCTCTTGCCCTCTCTGGGTCTATTTCCATCACTGGTTGTTGTTCGCATTCATTGTGGTAATTTTCTCCTTCGTTCTGTCCTTTTTGCTTTGGCTCATCATCGAGAAGCGAAACGTTTCCTTCTTTGTAGGCTTCCCTGCTGGGGACGTACGCATAATCGGTGGGCCCGGTACGAGAACTGCAAATCTAAATGAAATAAGATAACATTATCATTAGGGAACACCAGGACAGGTTGGTCGAAGAGCGAATGCTAAGCCCATCCTGTTGATAAATCATCCACTTTGCGTTTCGACAACATTCACCCAAAGAGTAATCCGTCTTTCAAACTTCTACTCGACTTAAAGCCTTTTAGAATTCGCATTTTTCCAAGACCTGACACTTTTAGAGTTTCCTACAGTAGGGTTTCAAAGTATAATCTGAAAAGAAAGAAGTAAGGTTTTGAGTGAAAACTCCGAACAGTTGGCGGATAAATGTTAATAGAAAAGCTTACCCCCATGTTCCAATTTGTTACCAGCTCTGACCTCTAAACAGCTTCAAACAGCTCTGACCTCTGTCCGGAAGTATGAAATAGAATACAAGTAATATCATTAAATCTATTGAGGCTTAGAAAATTATTGTTAAGGCTGCATATCTGATCTCATTCGAGTTTTAAAATGATCATGAACAGGCTGAGGTGACATCTCTTGGGAAGCAAATCAAGCTATTTTAAGGCCACTAAGATTACGTCGTGATTTTTGCTTGAGCAGCTGTGAGAAGATCACTCATCACTCAGTGTGACGTATGGTTGTTCCACGTGGGCTATTTGCGCTGCACGCGTGCATGGACTTCAACCTGGAAGTGCATGAATGATCAGCGGTGAATTCAGTCTTTGTTGCAACCAGACAAGCGAGACGCGGGTCACAATGTGACGCTTCTGTTTGTTATCGATATCAACCAGATTTGTACCGCTAATAAAAAAAATTTACTATGTTTAAGTTGTAAGTATCCCTCCTGTAATTGGTCATGTGTAACTCACCATTCTCCAATAGGAGCATCAGTTTTTTTTTTCGAGCGTTTATAGAAACGAGGAGTTATTTATTTTGTGTCACTTACCGCGGAGGAGGATGCGGACTAGAATTAGTTTGTATATTAAAAGCAACTGCAATGAATGAGCACAACAATCTGTATACATGTATTTTGAGACGGACCAGCTTACAATGTTTTTTCATTCAAACTGTTTGAACAAATTTTTCTTCAAGCCGATGAAATTTCGTGGTGATCGAACGCCTTCAGGCATCCTGTTAATAATCTTAAGAAGGCAATGATTTTGTGATCTAAAAGGAATTGCTGCATGTAAAATTAACAAACACCATGTAGTTACGAGATCTAGTGGATTGTTACAAGTCAATTTCTGTAAAGCAGACTTGACTGCTTGACTGCCTCGTTGGGTGGGCAAAGTTATTAGGCGTCAATGCGACACTCTATAACTGTTTACAAGTCTAGTTGACAGCCGGTATTTACCGGAGATATTTGAATAAATTACGTCGTCTTTCTCTTTGCCGTACATGTCCACTCGCTTCTATTTCAGAAACGTTTTTTTAAGTAGGAAGGATTTAAAACGAAAACACAAGAAAAGAGCAAAGGTCTGTATTATCTCAGAAAACAACAGTAAGAGTGCAGCTTTCCTTGTTTGCCATCAGGCATCATGGCTTTAAAAATATGTGAGCTAATATGGTATAATCACCACGGTTACTGATACAAGAGTAAGTTACATGAACAAAGTTGAAATGGTAAATGGACCACCGTTGAAATGGTAAATTGGCCACCGTTGAAACGGTAAATTGGCCACCGTTGAAACGGTAAATTGGCCACCGTTGAAATGGTAAATTGGCCACCGTTGAAATGGTAAATTGGCCACCGTCAACTTTGTTGATAATATATCCAAATTATTTGGTTACCGGCCACCGACGCAGCCCCTAACAGTTTCTTTAGAAACTATCAGCCTTTATTCATAAGTTACATGAAGTTTAGAGATGTCTAATGAGGAATGAACATGGCAGTAACCTAAATTATACTTAGAATGTTCAGTTTAACCTTTCCTTCAGGACAACCATGCCATGTTTGTGTAACTGTCTACCAAAATGCCCATCGAAAAGCATAATGCAAACTTGCCCTTCCGAAAGAATGTTAAAAGACATATCTCGGCTTGGGTTTTCCTTTTCATTTCAACTTAAAATCCTTGGCTCAGACTCAAGAAGATCGTTACATCTCAATGAGAGACATACTCCTCGGGCACCTTTACTGAAAGCGTTGAAAATATTTTTACAGCGAGTCGTTTGAACTGCGGATTAGGGTCAACATGCTATCACTAGACAAGATCTAAACCAGTATTTATTGAGGCGTCTGAATTAACCTTTTGAGCAGCAGTTATTCTCATTTCCAAACCAATAATTAGCTGATTTTGTATTTATTTTATAAAAATATTGTCAGAACGCAAATTTGCTGTCGAAGTTTAGCCATAATATATAATCACGTAACCATGAAACGTGGCGATCCAAGTTCATCAACAAAGTTTACCGTTATGTTACAGGAATTTGGTAATAGACGCTATGATAATGGTACTAACTTTTCATTCTTCTTTCGTGGTTAAGAATAAAATTAGTCTAAAGGCATCATAAATTCGAATTAAACCACTATTAACTTGGCTCCGATCTCCCATATTTCGAGTTGAACTCCGGATTGCTTTGGAATCGCTTCTACGAAAATATTCAGAAGCCGTAAGCCAATTACAGAGTACATTAATGGAAGTTCTTGGTAGTACGTGTATCTATCAGTATAAGGACTTACCTTTCGAAGTGAGCCAAATACGTGTTCTACTCTGCCCAAGTGGTAGCTCTAAGCACTTCAATGAAACAAGGAAGAAAACGGCTGGCTCTCCAATATTGAACTTATAACTTGTTCTGCTCAAAATAACTCAGTAGATCGCATGAATTAACAACAGTTTTCTCTGTAGCACCTACTTTGTCAAGGAACAGTAGAACCAAGAATTTTCTAAAGTTTCCTTCGAACTTTTTCTTATCTGTTTAGAAAAGCTTTGGCTGCTATAATGTATATTTCTTCTTTCAAAATGGAGACATTTTAATATTGCGTGACATTACTCTAATTAATTCGTCAATCAATACTATGACAAAATTCATGAACGAGATTGGTTATCATCAGCCAGCTTTGAGCACTTATAAAACAGTGTAAGTGTCATGCTTTATTTGTATTCAGGTGGCTCTTGTTCTGGAGACAGTTTCCCCTTTGAGAAACCCAGATTAAAACTCAGGCGTTTTACGAATTTCTAGGTCAAATGCAGCTCAAGCTGTACAACAGAGAACTTCGTGTTTCATATTGAAAAAAAATATAATTTTGACCTGCGGGAGAAATTCGAGTGAAAAAAACAAATTCTCGCTGGTGAACTGCAATAAAAGCCTTTGAGAATTTCAGAGTGCTGCACATGCCTAACCAGGCCATTTACGAGGATCGAAAGGGGCCAGTTATTATTTCTAGGGCCTAGGGGAGGGGGGTGGGGAGCTGAGGATATTGAGGGTGATCAAAAGGTTTTCAGTAAATTGGCTGATAATTAATTGTCTATGAGGGCACGTGAGGGGGCAGGGGGGGAGGGAGGCTCATGAGAATATCACAGAGTCTTACGANACTGTGAAATGTTCAGCAGGCAACCGTGGACGATACTCCTACTCTTGTACGTTGGATCAGCGATGATCTGATCGGCCCAAAATAACGAATATGAAATATAAATATAGAGGCAAGACCGATACAACGTAGATAAGTAAATTTTAAGACGGAGCACTATATTTCGGCTGGCCAAACCAGCCTTCTTCAGGTGCAGTGGGAATTAACAGAGAATTGGGGTGATGCTTCATAGATAGCTGTATGATGTAACAGCGGAAATATGTAAAACTAATTTGATTGACAATGAGATAACAATAAAAATAGAAATAGTGAGCAAAAATAGAAATGAAGTAAGGTAAATTGGATAAATAACTAGAAACTAATACATTTCTTCGCGAGCGTTAAGGCCATCTGGATAAATAGTGTTGCCTCTTGAAATTAAAAAAGCTTCCCTGGCCTTGCGTATCGAGTCTCTCTTGGAAAACACTTTTTCGATGGCGATTAGCTCCATGTCGTGAGCAGAGTGGTTAGGAGAGGAAATGAAGTGTTCTGCCGCTGTAGTAGGTTTAGATTTAGAGTTAGGTTTATCAATGGTACGGCGGTGTTCATTAAAACGGTCTTTTAAACGTCGTTTAGTTTCTCCTATGTATTGTAAGTTACAGCGGTTACACTGAATTAAGTAGATAAGGTTTTTAGTGTCACAGGTCAAGTGAGATTTAATGGGACGTGTTTCGCCGGTAGAAAAAAAGGTATAGTTAGTAAGACCGTCAGAGATGTAGGGGCAAGTAACGCAGTTTCTACCACAACGGAAAGAGCCGGGGGGAGTTGAGGATGGGAAGTGGTAGAATTAGAGGGGAGTTTGGCTGTTACTAATGAGTCGCGAAGGTTGGAAGAGCGTCTGAAGGCGACAACTGGCAGAAACGAAAGACGTAAAAAAACCTAACCGTATTCCATTTATAACTACTTTTAATCCGTCGGTTCCTCACATCTCCAACATCATCCAAAAACACTGGCATCTACTGCAGTCTTCTAACCGCTGCAAAAAAGCTTTTCCTCAGCTGCAAGTTGTCGCAGCACTATTTATCCAGGTGGCCTTAACGCTCGCGAAGAAATGTATTAGTTTCTAGTTATTTATCCAATTTACCTTACTTCATTTCTATTTTTGTTCACTATTTCTATTTTTATTGTCATCTCATTGTCAATCAAATTAGTTTTACATATTTCTGCTGTTACATCATACAGCTATCTATGAAGCAACACCCCAATTCTCTGATAATTCCCACTGCACCAGAAGAAGGCTGGTTTGGCCAGCCGAAATATAGTGCTTCGTCTTAAGATTTACTTATCTTCGTTGTATCGGTCTTGCCTCTATATTTATATTTCATATTCGTTATTTTGGGTCGATCAGATCATCGCTGATCCGACGTAAAAGAGTAGGAGTATCGTCCACGGTTGCCTCCTGAACATTTCACGGGAAAATAATGACCGACACACCGAAGCAAACTAACTATACAACGATATAAGATATCCGCATTTTTGCACGTTTTATCGAGTGGCCTTCTTTGTTTATAGAAAGATAAACTTTTTAAAGTCTTCTACAAGAAGGCAAAAAAAAGGGGGGGTTCCTTCAGCTTAGTATGTTTTCCAATGTTAAATTTAAAAAAAGCCTCCATTGATACATGACTATACCGTTTGCTGAAATAACTGGAAAAGTTAATCAATGTCTACTAATTAACTTCGTTTATTGCCACAGAAAAACGAAAATGTAAATCATCATAAACTTTTGGTATTGCTTATGTGCCATGAAATGAAGATTAAATTACGATGACGAAAGCCTTTCCCTTAACAACGTGTGCGTTCTTGCATGGGCATATCATTTGACAAATTTCATTATCGTGAACCTAGATGACATAAAACATCTGTAAATTACTCTCTGAATTTCTTAAAAAATAAACGAAGAATATAAGTAAAAACAGCATCTCAAAATGAATGACCTTCTAATACAACTTTGATGTAATGATACGCCTGAGCGACGGTAACAAAAGGGATCTCTGAAGATTACCAGAATAAGAAACCGTGGTAGTTGCTAGGACTAAAGCAGACAATCGATGTCTAGCTGCAGACTATTAAGTTGTGATGATTATATTCTTGGTCATCGCCTTGTTGTGTCAAGCGGAGTGGCCGGACGTCATCGGCAGACGAAGTTTCTACATCGTCTTAAAATAAAATGAGAGAGAATGAAGTGAGAGAACTAACATGCCTCCATTCTGTTGGTAGTCTGCCCAAATCTAATTTTTAGCACACGTTCCTACAACGGGGTTATTTTAAGAACTACACATCAGCTTAGTTGTTTGTGGGAAAATTAGCGCTAACAAAGAGAATCAAACTGAATTTTCTTTTTAAGCTTTCAGATCTGAAGTCAGATTTCACATTAACGCAACCCTGGGTTATCATCACCCATCTTTGAACACCCCGGCCTTGATTGTATGTGATGATGGCTGTTTTGT